CAAGCTGCATACACTGCACCCTATTTGTTGTCTTTTATCCCCCACCTCTATACCACTCTTCCCAAGTCCCCAAAGTTCTTTGTATCATTCTTCTGCCTTTGCATCCTCAAAGCTTAGCTCCTAGATATCAGTAAGAGCATACAATGTTTGGTTTTCCATTCTTGAGTTACTTCACTTAGAATTAATAGTCTCCAATCTCATCATCACTGTAAATGCCACTAACTCATTCCTTTTCATGACTGAGTAGTATTGAATTGTATAAATGTACTGCAGTTTCTTTATCCACTCATTGCTTGATGGGCATTTGAATTGGTTCCATAATTTTACAATTGCAAATTGTGCTGCTATAAACATGCGTGTGCAAATATCTTTTTCATATAATGACTTATTTTCCTCTGGGTAGGTTCCCAGTAATGAGATTGCTGGATCAAATGTACTTCTATCAAAAGTATAAACTTTAATGATACCTTCATATCTTTTCTATATTTTATTTTAACCTGTGGCCATTTTACATATTTGCTAAATATGTAGCTGCATCATTCATTCTTGAGATTCAGCTTCTGATTACATTTTAAAGTATTTTTTGAAAATCTGGCATTAGGAAATTAAACTTCTGCAAGATCCAGTTTTCTCCAGAATAAACTTTTTGAAGATATTTTTCTTTTTCATAATTTAAAAAAAAATCAGGTTTACAATATATTGAGAACATAGACATATAGGGGAAAAGTAGATATTCTACCACAAGGTTAACACATTTCAATGCATCCTTCCAGCCTCTTCTCTACAAAAGATTTTTTTAAAGAAAAATGGGACACTTTATATACTGTCTCATAATTTGTGTTTTTACCTAACACTCCCATGTATTTCCAGGTTTATAGATGGCTACCTTTTAGTAATTTTTATAACATCATTTTATAGATCACTATATAAGAAGTTTCTCTGTTAGGTAATTTCGGGTACTTCTAATGTTGCAAATAATGTTACAAACATCCTGATAGTAAATTGCTTTTACATCCATCTAAAATTAATTTTTATTGAGAATTCCTAGAAGAAAAATGACCCTTTCTAAAGCTTTTGATATGTTCTGTTAGTTTGGTAACTATAAAGTATCTTTCTAATCTAGTCTCCTTCCTAATTGCCCATTTTTTGTACCCTCACATTCACTATCTATATTTAGCCAGATTTCTAAATGAATATGTCACTTCGCTGTTATTTTAACTTTCAGTTCTTTATTTGTGAAATAAAATTGTTTATGGTTTTGCTTTTAGTTTTTGTTAGGAGGCAGAGGAGTTTGTGTTTCTTTCTTTGAAAATTGCTTGTGCTGCTATTTACAATAGGAAAGACTTGGAACCAATCCAAATGCCCATCAATGATAGACTGGTCAAAAAAATGTGGCACATATACACCATGGAATACTATGCAGCCATAAAAAAGAATGAGATTACGTCCTTTGCAGGGACACGAATGAAGCTGAAAACCATTATTCTCAGCAAACTAACACATGAACAGAAAACCAAACCCTGCATATTCTCATAAGTGGGAGTTGAACAATGAGAACACATGGACACAGGAAGGGGAACATCACACATCCAGGCCTGTCAGGTGTCGGGGACAAGGGGAGGGGGAGCATTAGGACAAATACCTAATGTATGCAGGGCTTAAAACCACCGTAGCACATGTTTACCTATGTAACAAACCTGCATGTTCTGCACATGTATTCCAGAACTTAAAGTAAAATTTAAAAAAAGAAAAGAAAATTGCTTGTGCTGGACTTTCTTTTAGAAGATAATTTAATTTTTATTCAATAATATTTTTCTTGACAATTTAATTTTCTATTCAATAATTTTTTTTGGTATATTTCAGGATGCTAAGTTCCACTTTAACAAACTAAATGACTGTGCCTCTAAAATTAACCTTTTAGTAAGATGACTTGTGTCTTCCATTTACTGGCAAGTAGATTCAAAAGAAAATCATAAATACTTCTTTAGTACTGATTTAATTGTTTAATGATGCTTACATGTTATTATTAAAGTAGACCAGTGGAAGGAACCTTGGATCAGGCTAAATCTGTATAGGACCAATCACACTACCCTGGGAAAGCCATAGTCCAGTTTCTTCTGTAAAATAAGATTGAGTTACTTTTCAGAGTTGTAATAGGAATTGAGAATTGTCTCCTTCAATATCAACAACAGTATTTTGGCACAAAGTAGATGTCCAATAAATGGAATCATTAGTTATTATTAGCCTCTTTTGGTGTTATTTTATTTTAACATGTCCCTTATTTTACTGGTTTTTCAAACTGTAGGTCTCCAATTATGAGTGGATTGTGAAACTAGTGTACACAACTTTGAGATACAACTAGAACTTTTTAGGAAGAACAGAGCAGAATTAACTATATCTAAGTTTTTCACAGAAGTGTTTTTATGTGAAACTTTTCTTCGGTATATAACATCTAGGCAGAGAGAAGTGTGTACACTGGATGACGATGTAAAATGACCTCTTACTATGAGTTGTATCTAAAACTCCTTCACAAACAGGATTATATTAGATACTTGTCTCATAGTTTGCAAGTCTTTTGATGCTATAGTGGCTAAGACACCTTGGTTCAAATTCCCGTTCCATTAATTACTACTGTTTGACTTTAACTGCCTGACTTTTACTGTATAACCTCCTATGCCCTAGTTTCCTCACCTAAGAAAAGGGTGATAATTATTCATGGGAGTAATATGAAAACTACTATATGCTTTAATATGTGTAAACCACTTAGCAGGTGCTCAATAACTGTTAGCTTATTTTATAAAGACTGATTAGAATAACTTTTTTTCTGAATAAGCAAACAGTATACATAAAAGAATATAAAGTCATCAGTCTGGGCGCGATAGCTCACACCTGTAATCCCAGCACTTTGGGAGGCCAAAGTGGGCAGATTACTTGAGATCAGGAGTTTGAGACCAGTCTGGCCAACATAGTGAAACTCTGTCTCTACTGGAAATACAAAAGTTAGCCAGGTGTGTTGGTGTGCCCCTGTAATCCCGGTTACTCAGGAGGCTGAGGCAGAATTGCTTGAAGCCAGGAGATGGAAGTTGCAGTGAGCAGAGATTGCCCCACTGCACTCCAACCTGGGCAACAGAGGGATACCCTGAAAAAAAATGAAAAATGAAAAAGTCATCACATTAGCCAGGACTGAAGAATCAGGTAGTTTTTCCATCCACAAATATGATGCTTCCTGATAAGCATCTTATTTCCATAAATATGAATTTTCAAAAACCAAGTAACTATTCTTAGTTTTGCTATTTACAAAAAATGTTATCTCTCAAGATATGAAGGAATAAAAATAAAACACTAATTAATCAATTAGTTTTTGTCAGTATATTAGATCCTCAATTACCCATTATATTTTTTTGTTTTATGAATTTCTTAAATTTCACAGTGGTATGCACTAAGTAAAAAGAACTTTGTCTATATTCAGCCTAACAACAGAGCAAGATCCTATCTCATAAAAGAGAGAGAACTAGTCAATTATAAAATAAAAATTCTTATCTATGTATATGTGTTAGTCTCAGCAATGATCTCCTAGAAGTAGATCCAAAATCTCTGGTTTTAATTAAGATTTTAATAAGAATCCTATGCATCTGAGATTACTCTATTTTCAAATCTGCTTTTACTAAATTACTCCATTTTCAATTGTACTTTTACTAAATAAGTGTACATAGCTAACTCACAAATCGTTTGAATTTCATTTTTTAAAAAAATTGTTTGCTGATTATCTCCATGTCTTTGCAAAATAAAAGGTTTTTATAAGTTCAACCACTTTTCTGTTGAGAATATGAAGTGAATCCTGTCCAGGTCTCTTTACTTACCTAGTTATGCCCCAAATCATGCCCATTCTCTCATCAGAAGGCCTGAAATCTTAAGTTGTGAAGGAAAATTACAAAGTCCAGAATATTTTTAGATTGAAGAATATTCATTTCTACTCCTTTAGAATAACTTCCTTACAATTGTACCTTCACATGTTCTAAGAAAAATCTAGTAAGGGCAGGTTTTAGTCCTTCATATTTCAGAAGATGACAAATTATGAAGTCAAATGACTTGTTAAAGTTTACTTAGCTAGTGAAGAAGATGAGAACTGATGTCTTCTGAATTCACAGCTAAGATGTTTTTATTTGTCATTTTGTTAAGTGTTTTGGGATATTTTGGAGGTGAACAAATACTTAAAATAATTGAATAAATTAATAAAATAAAATATTCAAATTAAATAAGCTAAATAAAGTAAAATAATGAAACTTATAAGTTGTGTTTCATTAGCAGGACTATGATATATATAGTCAACCATGCCACATTTATAGTGACTTTAAAAAATTACCCAGCAAGACAAGTGAATTATTGATCAGAGTATTGTTTACAATAAATGTCAAAAAAGTGATTGGGGTGAAAGCTTACCATCAATAAATAATATTCAAGCACCAATTATTGTAATACATTCATAACATGTTTGAGTATCAATATTATAAATAGTATATTTATAACCATTTTAAAGTCACTAGCATTTTGAATGTATGTTATCATTTATTAACATTTCTAATACAAATATTACATCTCTTTTTTCCTTTTAAAAAATACAAAATAGTTAATATATAGAGCATGTATTTCATCAATAATTGTTTCATACACATTTTGGTAAGATACGGGTTAAAAGTTAAATATACACAGCAAATAATCGGCTCTATAAATAACTAATAGATTTAACAGTATACATAGCATTGTTGGGAGAGAATGCTATTCAGTGACTATGTCTGGTCTTACCTTCTGGGGAAGAGGTCTTTACTCACTGTGGTTCCATAAATATTTCATGAACCAATATAAAGCAATATGCTAATGATGGACTATTTACCCAGTGAGCAGGTGCCACCTCTGGTGCTGTTTCATCTCTGGAATACCTTTGATGTGGGAGCAGTTAAGCCATTTTGAATTGTTCTATCTTTGCTTCCCTCCCCTCACAGCTTCACCTGAACCTAAAATGGTGAGCGAGAGTCACCATGAGGCCCTGGCAGCCCCGCCAGTCACCACTGTCGCGACTGTTCTGCCAAGCAATGCCACAGAGCCAGCCAGTCCTGGAGAAGGAAAGGAAGATGCCTTTTCTAAGCTGAAGGAGAAGTTTATGAATGAGTTGCATAAAATTCCATGTGAGTATTTTATATTAGCACTTGAGTAAAAATAAGTGGTTGAAAAACACCCTATCCATTGGAAAGAAAGCAGAACTCCTTTTAATATACTATAAATTTACATTTAATTTATTACTATAGGAATGATAGTATCCAAATACAAAATGAAATATTCTTGGAAATGGAATATTCTTCTTGTCTTTAAATATACTTGATAGATGAAAATCCAGTTTATAAAAACAAATCTGCCACTTGTCTTCAATGTAGGTAGCTTCTTTTCTTCAGTGTCTGTTTCTCTCAAGCATATTAATGTTTAGGGTTGTGTTGCATGTATTTTGGATTTACATTTATGAAATTATTTCATTGTAAAGATTGTTTCTGCACAATAGCTAAGGTTTGCTTTCCCAATATCGCAGGTTTGATTTTCTGTCACTCGTTTGTCAACATTTAAAAATCTTATTGTGATTTTTTAAAGTTCCTTTATTGTGATTTTTAAAAACTGCACTTAAGTTTATTTGGATGAGTATAACACTAAGTTCAATCAGTGACATTTAACTTTTTTATTTTATTTTTATATTGACAGATAAAATTATACTGTTGTACAACATAGTGGCTATCATTAATAATATATCTATGGTGTATTCCAGAAAAATGTTAAGAGAGTGAATATAAAACATTCTCACAACAAAAATGATAACTATATCAGTTAGCCAGGTTTAGTTATTCCACGCTGTATCAAAATATCACGTTGTAGACAGTAAACATGTTGTACAAAAGATCTCTGGAACTTATTTCTCCTCTCTAACTGAAATGTTGTATTCTTAGACCAACATCTCCTCAATTGTCACCTCCCCCAAGCCACCACAGCCACTGGTAACCACCATTCTACTCTCTACTTTGATAAGATCACCTTTTTGAGATTTCACATATGAGTGAGATAAGGTCATATTTATCTTTTTGTGTCTGGATTATTTCACTTAACAATGTTCACCAGGTTCATTCATGTTGTCATGAATGCCAGGATTTTATTTTTTTATAGCTGAATGGTATCTCATCAAGTGGATGTACCACAATCCATTCATCCACTGATAGACACTTGGATTGATTCAATATCTTGGCTATTGTGAATAATGCTGCAACTAACATGAGAGTGCACGTATCTCTGTCATATTGATTTCATTTTCTTTTTTTTAATTAGATTTATTTGCATATTAGCAAGTATGCGGGGGTTTTTTGGGAGAAAAAAAGAAAAAGAAAAAAAGAAAGAGAGAAAGAGAGAAAAAAAAGAATGAAAGAGAGAAAGAAAGAGGAAGAGAAAGAGGGAGAGAGAATGAGAGTCTTGCTTTATTGCCCAGGCTAGAATGCAGTCTAAAAATGGGTATTGAAACCCTCTTTTATGCCAATAATTGTGCTTAACAATGGAGACAGGAAGGGATAAGGGAGGAAAATAACAAACAAGCAGCCAACCAATATTTCATTTAAACCTGTGAAATGCTGTGCAATTACTAAAGAGTGATTTACTTCCAATTATGTAGTCACTTTTAGAGTAGGTGTGATGTGGTACTGATAAGAATGTATGCTTTGTGGATTTGGGGTGGAGAGTTCTATAAATGTTTATTAAGTTTACTTGTTCTGGGTCTGAGTTCAAGTCCTGGATATCCTTGTTAATTTTCTATCTCGTTAATCTGTCTAATATTGACAATGTGATGTTAAAGTCTCCCACTATTATTGTGTGGGAGTCTAAATCTCTTTATAAATCATTAAAAACTTGCCTTATGTGTCTGGGTGCTCCTGTATTGGGTGCATATATATTTAGGATCATTAGCTCTTCTTGTTGCATTGATCCTTTCACCATTATGTAATGTCCTTCTTTGCCTCTTTTTATCTTTGTTGCTTTAAAGTCTATTTTATCAGAGGCGAGAATTTCATTTTCTTTGGATACATACTCAGTGGTAGGATTGCTGGATCGTATTGTAGTTCTAGTTTTAATTTTTAAAGAAGCCTCCATACTATTTTCCATAGTGGTTGAACTAATTTACATTCTTACCAACAGTGTGCAGGGTCTCACTTTTCTCCACATCCTGGCCAACACTTATATTTGATTTTTGATCATAGTCATTCTAACAGGCTTGAGGTGATATTTCATTTTGGCTTTAATTTGCATTGCCTTGATAATTAGTGGTGTTAAGCACTTTTTCATATTTCTGTTGACCATTTAAATATCTTCTTTTGAAAAATGTCTATTCAGGTGATTTGCCCTTCTTTTGATTCGGTTTTTTGTTTTCTTGCTATTTAATTATTTGAGGTCCTCATATATTTTGGTTATTAATCCGTTAACAGTATATAGTTTGCAGATATTTTCTCCCCTTCTGTAGATTGTCCCTTTATTTTGTTGATTATTTCTTCTACTGTGCAGAAGCTATTTAGTTTGATATAATCCTATTCATCTGTTTGCTTGTATTGCCTGTGCTTTTGGGGTCAAATCCAAAAAGTTGTTGCCAAGACCATGCCATAAAACTTTCTTCCTGTGTTTTATTCTAGACTCGTAATTTTGAACCTTATATTTAAATATTTAATTCATTTTCGATGATTTTGTATATGTTGTGAGATAGAGTATAGTTTCATTCTTATGCATTCGGCTATCCAGTTTTCCCAACACCATTTACTAAAGAGACTGTTCTTTCTGCTTTGTGGGTTCTTGGCTCTTTTGTTGAAAGTGAGTTGGGAGTAAATGTGTGGATTTCTTTCTGGGTTCTCTGTTGTTTCATTTGTCTGTGTGTCTGTTTTTATGCTGGTACCATGCTGTTTTGGTTACTATAGATCTGTAGTATAAAACTGTAACTCTGTACGTAGTATATTGAAGTCAGGTAATGTGATGCCTCCAGCAATGTTCTTTTTGCTCAAAAAAGATTACTTTGGCTATTTAGGAATTTGTGTAGTTCCATACAAATTTTAAGATTGTTTTTCTATTTCTGTGAAGAATGTCATTGGTATTTTGTAGTATCTTTGTCTGGCATTGCTATCAAGGTGTTGCTGGCTTTGTAAAATGAGTTTGGAAGCATTCCTTCTTCAATTTTTGGAAGAGTTTGAGAAGAATTGGTATTAGTTCTTTAAATGTTTCATAGAGATCAGCAGTGAAGATATAAGGTCCTCGCTTATGGGAGATTTCTTTATTACTGATTCACTCTTTTTGCTCATTACTGATCTATTAAGATATTCTATTTCTTCATAATTCAGTCTTGGTAGGTTGTAAGTGTCAAGGAATGTATCCATGTTTTCTTGGTTATACAATTTGTTGTTACATAATTGTTCCTAATAGTCTCATGACCCTTGTATTTCCATTGTATCAGTTGCAATATCTCCTTTTTTGTTTTTTATTTATTTGAATCTTCTCTTTTTTTCTTAGTTAGTTTTGCTAAAGGTTTGTCAATTTTGTTCAACTTTTCAAAAGACCAGTTTTATTTATCTTAGTTTTGTTGGTCTTTTCTGTTGTTTCTATAGTCTCTATTTCATTTCTCTCTGTGCTGATTTGTATTGTTTCCTCCCTTTACTAAATTTGAGTTTAGTTTGTCTTTGTTTTTCTAATGTCTTGAGGTTCAACATTAGGCCATTTATTTGAGATTTTTCTTCTTTTTGTGATATAGACATTTATTTCTATAAAATTCCCTCTTAGAATTTCTTTTGCTTTATCCCATAGGTTTTGCTATATTGTGTGTTCTTTTTCATTTGTCTTAAGAAATTTTTTTTGTCTCAAGAAATTTTTGTTTCCCTTTTAATTTCTTTAATGATCCATTGTTTATTCAAGAGTGTGTTGTTTAATTTCCATGTATTTGCACATTTTCTAAAGTCCCTTCTGTTTTCGATTTCTAGTTTTATACCATTGTAGTCAGAAAAAAAATCATTTGATATAATTTCAGTCTTCTTAAATTTATTAAGACTTGTTTTGTAGACCCACCTATGATCTGTTCTGGAGAATGTTTCATGTGCAGTTGAGAACAATGTGTATTCTGTAGCTGTTGGACAGAATAATCTGTGTATGTATGTTGGGTTGATTAGAGGCAGATTGTAGTTTAAGTGATGTTTCCCTACTGATTTCCTAACTGGATGGTCTGTCCATTACTGAAAATGGGGTGTTAAGTCACTGTTATTGTATTACAGTTGATCTCTCCCTTCAGGTCTATTATCATTTGCTTTGTATATTTAGGTGCTCCAATGTTAGATGCATTTATGTTTGCAATTTTTACATTCTCTTGCTGAATTGACCCTTTTTATCATTATATAATGATCTTTCAATTTCTTCTTACAGCTTTTGTCTTAAAATCTATTTTATCTGATACCCATATAGTTATTCCTGCTCTCTTTTGGTTTCCATTTGCATTAGATATCTTTTTTCATCCCTTTATTCTGTATGTCCTTACAGGTGAAGCGTAGGCAGCATATAGTCGGATCTTTTTAAAATTCATTCAGTCACTCTATGTCTTTTGATTGGAGAATTTAACCTATTTACATTCAAAGTAATTATGAATAGTTAAGAACTTACTTCAGCCATATTGTTAATTGTTCTCTAGTTATTTTGTAGATTGTTTATTTCTCTCTTTTCTTTTTTGCCGTCTTCCCTTGTGGCTAAGTGATTTTTCTCTAGTGGTCTGTTTGATTCCTTGCTTTTCATTTTTTGTGTATCAACTAGTGGTTCCTTCTATATGGTTACCATGAGGTTTTCAAAAAACATGTACAGTTATTAGAGGTTCTTTTAAGCTGATAACAAATTAACTTTGATCATGAAAAAAACTGTACAATTTTACTCCTCTACTGCTCACATTTTGAATTTTTGATCTCAAAATTTACATCTTTTACATTGCATTTTCCTCTAAAATTTATCGTAGCTATTATTATTTTTAATTGTTTTGTCTTTTAGCCTTCATACTAAAGTTATAAGTAGTTGACACACCAGGATTACAGTGTTACAGTATTCTGCATTTGACTGTGCACTTACTTTTACCAGCAAATTTGATACTTTCAAA